CCTGGACTTAATGAAGCACAGTGGACCAACACCAGCAGATGACATGGCTCCCCAAATCAACACAGACTGTGCAAACTTCACACTGGGCTTCAAGCATCTTGCAGTGTGTGCCTCTCCATTCTTCCTCCATACTCTGGGTCCTTGGTTTCCAAATGAGATGCAAAAGTTGCTCTCATCAGAAAAGAGGACTTTGGACCACTAAGCAACAGACCAGGTCTGTTTTTCTTTAGCCCAGGTAAGACGCTTCTGACGTTGTTTGTTGTTCAGGAGCGGCTTGACAAGAGGAATACGACATTTGAAGCCCATGTCCATTATCCGCCTGTGTGTGTGGTGGCTCTTGATGCACTGACTCCAACCTCAGTCCACTCCTTGTGAAAGTCCCCAACACTTTTGAATGGCCTTTTCCTGACAATCCTCTCCAGGCTGCGGTCATCCCTGCTGCTTGTGCACCTTTTTCTTCCACACTTTTCCCTTCCACATAACTTTCTATTAATGTGCTTTGATACAGCACTTTGGGAACATCCAACTTCTTTTGCAATTACCTTTTGAGGCTTTCCCTCCTTATGGAGGGTGTCATTGATGGTTTTCTGCACAACTGTCAGGTCAGCATGATCTTTCCCATGATTGTGATTCCTACTGAACCAGACTGAGAGACCATTTAAAGGCTCAGGAACCCTTTGCAGGTGTTATGGCTTATTTAGCTGATTAGAGTGGGACACTTTGAGCCTAGAATATTGCACCTTTTCACAATATTAAAATTTTCTGAGATTGTGGATTTGGGGTTTTCATGAGCTGTAAGCCATAATCTTCACAATTATGACAAATCACGGCTTGAACTATCTTGCTTTGCATGTAATGAGTCTATCTCATATATTAGTTTCACCATTTAAGTTGCATTACTGAAATAAATGAACTTTTGCACGATATTCTAAATTTTTGAGTTTCACCTGTATATATATATAAATTTTATCACCAGATTTATATAAACATCAAAGCTTGGCTGTAAGTCATGTTTGAATTATGCAATCACATTAGGTGCTCAAAGTGGTCACCATTAGCATCCAGACACGTTTGATATCGGTGAATTACTGCATGAAGAACATTGACCAGTGTGTCCACAGGAATTGCTCTGCATAAGGTTTCATTTTCCTCCCGTCGTGCAGTTAGTGTAGGTGGTTTTCTATGGTACATCACATCCTTTAGTGTTCCCTACAGATATAAATCAAGGGGTATTATGTCTGGGGGCCAGCACCTCTTTGTCCTATCCAACATCCTGGCAGAATGTCATCAAGATAGGCTCTCATGTCTCGGTGCAACACCATATCTGAGGAAGAAGAACTTCCCAGATCTTTGCTTGTGCTCATCACACACAGTGTCATCGGTAGGGTTGCCACCTCATTCCTTTAAAACCAAACAAATATTAATTACACAGGTTCTGGGGCTGATTAAGGTGGTAATTAAACTCACCTAGTGCCTTATCTGCACTAAATTGGCCTCTAAACCTGTGTAATAAATATGTGTTCAGTTTTAAAGGGATAAGGTGGTAAACCTAGCCATCATTTTTGAACTTATTACAAATGTGTCTGATTGTTAGTTGTGCTGGGGGTTCTGTTCCAAACTCGCCATTGTCATTGAACTTCATTCATATTTTCAAATTTACAACACCACTTCAAAATGGTCTTGTGTTGCTCAAAAGTCAAGCGTACCGCCACCATTTTTCCTTGACTCTCACCTGACAGTCACATGATGACATCAACAATGGTGCGACTTCTGATATTTTCAGGGTAAACATAATACTACACATTGATGCCAAATTTCAATTTGGGTTTTAAAAAGGGGCGTAGATAACAGTTGAAGCGTGTATTAATTTTTTTTGGGCCTCTCTGTATATTTTTCCCCCTGAATTTCTGTTCATGTGATTCTAAAGATAAAATAATGAAGTGCAGAGATTATGTCACAGTTCAGGGACATCAAAGGATCATGTGACCCCTAAGCAGGACCATAGCCTTTCATTAGCTGTCTCGTCTAATGAAGTGTAAAAGAGCAGGTGAGGCAGAGCTGGGATTTAAGGCCTGGCTGAGTCAGGTGCTCCATGACAGTGGCTGTAGATCAGCAGCAGGGTAAATGGTTTAAACATGGTGTTTATGTAATATAGCCATACAATTTGTTTTTTTCAAACCTGTATAACTTTCTTTGTAATTGTTAATGTAGAAGTTGCATGTGATAGTCCCTTCTCTGCCTTTGATCTGGCTTTCAGACCTTTAACGTATGTTTTTTTTTTCTTACTTTTTGGTGTCTAAGGTTTAGATGTGTACAGGCATTGGCTCTTGCATGGGAAATGCAGTTGGCTGATGTTGGCTCTATGCTGATTCAACCAGTCTTGTGCTATGTAATGTTTTAGTTAGTGTTACCAACATCCGATATGCAAAAGTTTAGAAATAGTATATTTTGTATGTAGATAGACTTGAGGTGGTATGTGGGGTTTTTTTTTGTTTTCTCTACACACCGTTCATTACCAATGAATGCATAGCCTTCGTATAACTCCGCACACACAAATTACATGTGTTAGCCTTTATTGTACAGTGTGTTCACAAGGAATGGCACCCAAGGCTCTGCATATAGAGGTGTGTTGCAGCAATGCGTATTCTTTATCACGTGTGCTAAAGCTGATCTAGAATGCAGCAACACTAAGGGCCCTTTCACACTGCTCCATTGGGAAAACAAAAATGCACATACGTCTCCCCCCCCAAAAAAAAAAAAAAGCATTGGTGTGAAAGGGCCTTTAAAGTCTTAACTTCACAATTTGCACAGCTCTGTGGTACAAGAAAGGGTAGCCAAACTGACATTCCATTAGACCATAAATATACAGTAAGTATTTGAAAGCGTGTTTAAAAGACTTGCTTGGAGTTCCTCTTTAATCTTGGTAAACTTTACATATATAAATTGGAAGTGCAACGTATATCAGACACCGGTACCAACCTGTACTTATGAACGGGCAGGCAGCTTAAAAAAGCTAAGCAAAGCCAGAAATGATCTGTCTGCTTGTTCTGAGTCTGACTTGATTGGATTAGCATGGCATCAGGCAATTTGAAATTTCAGTATAGGGCAATGGCAGCCTACATACATCTCCCAGAATGGGTTTTCTTTAAAGGATAAGATCACCTTTTAAACCAAAATAATGCACATTTTTTTGCAGGTAAAAAAAAATGGGCATTTTATAATTTTTGGTTGCAGGAGCCTGTAAACCATTACATCAGTGAGCAGATCACTGGTGCCATACAGGTCAACTGCAGATCTGTCAGTGTATCTGCTTGCCTGTAAAGCTGTCAGGACTTGTATTTCATTTGTTCACAGAACTCTATTAATGAATGATGCGGCCATGTGAGCGAAGTCCTGCACAACCGCACTCTAGTCCAAAACTTACAGCTTGTACGGGGAACTTCTCCCCATACTGCTGTCACGTTGGGGGGATCGGATCAGGCAGTGGGTGCAGCACTGGGAACATTTTACATGTTCCAACCTAAAAACAGGTTGAACATGTAACAAGTTCCCAAAGGTGAACTTATCCTTCAAAGAAACCTTTTGAAAGATATGTAGATCAACGATGCTCCCCTAATTATGTGGCTGGCAATTGTATGGATGAGACAAAGGCCATAAGAAGCCTACAGTCATTTGAAACCTTAAATGATGATTTGATCCTTCTTTCCTTCTTCCCTTTTTTTTTTTTTTTTTTTTTTTTTTTTTAGCATCTTTTTTCAGGTAAAGAAATAATTGTTTAATTTTTTTTCAGTAGGAGCTTGTGAAGCATTGCACCCACAATCAGCAGATTCTGGGAGCAATCTCTGGCTCCTGCAGACTGTCAGTGACTGATTAAGGGTCCTTTCACATGGGGCGGATCCGCTTGCTCAGTGGGGGATCTTTCTGCTGATCCCCGTTGAGCAAGCAGATGACAGCTCTGAGTCTGCTCCGCTGCTGCAGAGCAGACAAAGAGCAATTCGCTCTCCTCAATGGGCGGTTGGATGAAAATGGATCAGACGGATGGAAGGGGAATTGGATCCCCATCCGTCCCTTCTTGGAAGATCAGATGTCAGGTGTAAACAGACACATGTCCGTTTACACCCGCCACTCCATAGAAGAGAATGGAGGTTCCAATCGGGTCTGCCTGAAAAATGGGCAGGCGGACCTGATCGGAACATCCGTGAGAATCAATTAACTACCTACAGCGCTCATCAGCAACCTGATAGTACCTGCATTGGCTAATGGTATTTGTAGTTCTACCATCCACAAAAATATGTGAATGATGTGGGCAGAGCCCTGCACTGCCACGCTTTTTTAAACTGTGAAAACAGGTGTGAGGAGAAGAGCCCTGGCCCAATATCACAATGGGGGTTCAGGGGGTGTAGGGGCTGCATGTTACAACCTATATATCAGTATAACATGTTACTAAAGGTGAACTCATGGACTGCATACTTGTTCTGGGGCAGTGACTTAATATAGTAAAGCCAGGAAAGTGGCATGATGGCCAGGCAAGTATCATTCTTGGATGGAGAGGTCAGCAATGGAAGCCTGTGAATATCTCCCAGCAATGACTTACTGTAAAGGTAGGCAGTGCCTCTTGCAGCAAGTGCCTGCAGAGTTCAGTTCACAGGTAGGCAGATACAATCTACCACAATCTATGGCTGGTCTAAGACCTTTTCCCTGAATACATGCATTAAACATTTTACGGTTTTCTAAAACTACAGAAAAATGATCTGTACAGATTGGCTTCTTGGTTTACATAAGTATTACACATGATGATTATGGAGAAAATCACATGGAATATCTTGCCTGGGGGGTCAACTGTGCATAGTGTGGCTTATGAAATGAACAGGAATGTATGAATTCTGGTAATGTCATGCTGGAGAGGTGTGACTATGCTAATAAGTGCCTGTTGGATGTTTTTAATAGGGACCTTCATTGTTTCTTTCACTGTGCTTTAGTCCTGGTTGGGAGGTAAACGGATGACTGAACAAGGCATGATGAGAGGGGTCTGGATTTTGGCTGTTCTCTGGATGCTGTGTGCTGGAATAGAGGCTCAGAACAGTAAGTATGGCACACGCGATAACTTGATATCTCCAGCTGCAAGCACTCTAGGGTTTCCTTCAGGAGTTGTATGTTCATGAAGATGGAAGAGTCTTTGCTTTTGGAATACTACAGGGTGGATATTGTTTTCACCTCCAATTTTAAACATTTGTTATATGGGTCACTTTGTGCAGGTTTGCTGCATTTGAAAACACTAGTAAAAATTATGTCGATGGAGGCAGATTGCATTGCTGTGTGCCCCAAAACTATGGGACTTCAAAAATGCTATAAAGGTGCGGTGCAAGGAGAAGACGCACCTTTTTATAACTGCATATGTTTAGGTTTCCCTTTTGTAAGAGCACTCACAGGAATTAAACAGAATAAGGCATTTGGTGGGCATAAAGAGTTCAGGTGGGCATATGTAACTTTTTTACATTTTTCAGTCTGTATGAACATTTTTCTAAATGTTAAGAGCCTTTTCTGTTAAGCTGGTATGTAATCCAGCCAGTAGTTCTTTTTCAAAGAACAAGGTGTCTTCCAGATGTATCAGTTTACAGGGATGGGGGTAACAATTAAACACTGGCAGGGGTGCTTACAAGATCGGCATTATTTACATAAAACCTTTGACTGCTGTAACTGATTATAAATTGTAAGCTGGAGTTTGGCTTCAGTTTTTTAGTGTATTTATATTTACCAGTACATCTAACACTACTACCACCACCACCCCCGATTAACATTGCTGCTGTGTCCCCTGTGCTCATCCATCCAGAGTGGGGGCACTCTAATACCGGAGGTGTTGCTGGCTAGATCACCAGGGGGACTGATGCACCCACCACATCTAATGACTGGTAAGATTCAAACTATTATTTTTTTGGTTTAATACTGCGTTAAATATATCATGATCTGGTAGCTGCAAGCAGACTTTTGTATGGTTGTACTAGAGGAAAATGGGTGGGGGTAATAATATTTTGCTGTTCTCCTCCTTGTATACCTAGCCTGCCTACCTAATTGGGCCACAATTGTATAGAAGTCCTCTTCTGATGGGAAGGAATTGCTGATCCACCCTAACTTTTTGGTGGTGCAGTGCCTGAGGGGGGCTGGGGTTTCATTTCCAAGTCTCTAAACATGGATGAGCCATTGCTATAAGTCCTTGGCCGCCTTAGAGATCAAAAGACCTGAATGAAACCTAAATGATCAATAAAACTGGGAAATGTTTATCACCAGTGTGTTTGCCAACTTAGCAATTTGCTTCACACCACATGGTAATGTGATGCATTGTACATGAAGCTCTTCAAGATTTGAACTACAGTTTGAGGCTTTTCACTAAATTATGAGCAGAAAGGTAGGGTTTACTAACTTTTCCAGTCATCTGTCCCTTGTATCCAAAGGTTAACATACTACATAAGTTATGTTAAAGTAATAGTGCAGCGCTACATAAGTTGTTTCTGTCACCGCCAGCCTGCAGTATTCATACACTTACCGGCCACTTTATTAGGTACACCTTGCTAGTGCCAAGAAACTATCCCCCACACCATTACACCACCACCACCAGCCTGAACTGTTACTATAAGGCAGGATCAGGGGTGGACTGACCATTTGGAAACTTGGGCACTGCCCTTGGGCCCGGGGTCAGTAGGGGGCCCCATGGGATGCCCCTGGTACCTTTTTTCATAGGCTTTTTTGAGTTTGGGCAAGGACACAGGAGCCCCATGATTCCCTATTGCCCGGGGGCCCCATGAGTTGTCAGTCCGCCCCTGGGCAGGATGGATCCATGCGTTCATGTTTACGCCAAATTCTGACCCTACCATCTGTCTCAGCAAACAGTCTGCTCATTCTCCTCTAACAAGACCTTTTTGTCCACACAACTGTCACTCACTGGATATTTTCTCTTTTTCGGACCATTCTCTGTAAATCCTAGAGATGATTGTGTCAAAATTCCAGTAGATCAGCAGTTTTTGAAATACTTGGACCAGACTGTCTGGCACCAACAACCATGCCATGTACAAAGTTACTTAAATCTCCTTTCTTCATCATTCTGATGCTCAGTTTGAACTTCAAGTTGTCATCACAATGTCTAGATGCCTAAATGCTTTGAATTGCTGCCATGTGATTTAGCTGATTAGCAATTTGTGTTACCAAGAAATTGAGCAGATGTACCGAATAAAGTGGCCGGTGAGTGTAGTATACAAGTACAAGGCTGCTTGGTTTTAAAGTGGCCTATTGAAGACCTATTGATTATACAAAACTCATATGAATGAGAAGCTGCCAATGCTGATCTTCTGAAAGTTGTAGTTGCTGGCTCTCTAGTCTCAATATTTTAAATCACCTACTGTGAATAAAGGATAAGATTTCAAGGTCAAAACTTCTGATATACACAGCTGTTGCAATTCAGTGGATCATTGTAGTGATTGGATCCAAATGACAGCCAGACAACTAGCATTTTCAGAGGGGGAAGTGATTTGTAGTGGCAGCCTAATTCAGTACCACTTCTTACATATGGTACTGTGCCACTTGCACTGCATCAACAATGGTCACAGTGGACATTGATTGCTATGGATGCAGTCCCAGAGGGGGACCAGTACTATGTAGATATGTTTATAGGCAGAAAAGGATCTGCAAACACTGATGATATGATCTGGTACAGTAACTTTTATAAAATGGTTTCTATTGATCGAGTCGATGGTTTGCTATGTATTGAAGCATTGCCTGGATGACTGACCTTCAGTTTAATTGCATGCAAAAGAAAACTAGTGTGATAGGAGGGGGGTTGTAAACTGTTATAATACGAGTAACACTCAGCTATTGAACATCTGTAAACCAAATCTGGCACTCTTGGTGAACATTACCCATTTTCAGACTTTTGGAATGGAAATCAAATGATTGCAGGAAGGGGGGGGGGGGGGCAGAAAGAGTGGGTTAATGGCAGAAAGAGTTGATGGAATGCAATTCTCCCAATTTAGAGGTCACATGGATTTTATCGTTATTAGATCGGTCACATTTAGTAAATATGCATTATCTTTTGCATTTAAGATAACATATTTCTGGCTAGCCAATGGTAAGCTTGGGGGGCAGCAGTGCTATCATCTCTACTCTTGTTCCCAGACAGCATCAGGTCAGATGCCTCAGCTGAGTGTCACATGTAGAATTCCAAGAGGGATTGAATGGCCGTGTGACCCATCTCTGCCTAGAGCCCCTCAGCACGACTCCAGTATGCACATCACATGCTGATTCCAGGGGCTCTGCTAAGCCAAGAAGTCTGATGGAAAGGGTGGGGTCAGACGGTATTCTGCATCAATGGAATTTGTGTGTTAGCATGTGACTCCGAACTGGAAATGTATTGAAGGGCTTCAGAATTTACACCTGCTTTAAATGTATAATCTAGAGCTAAAATTATTATATTATCCTTACAGGGTCTCGGAGTAGGGTTCAGCAAAGCAAATCAGAGGTGCAGAGTAACAAGCGCCCTCCCTTCAGGTCATGGAACAGTCAGATGTACCCCATCTGGAAAGGCAGCGAGTCACAGAAAAGAGACTGCTGGAAAGGTGAGACAGCCAGGCTGTTGGGTTTTATATCTATAAAAATATCATTGTAAGATTTATACCACCATTAACTATTGGCATCATTAACATTACATGGTGGGGGGGATCGATTTGTTGTGACAGTTTCTCTAAACTGACCAGTTGGTGTGACAGCCTAATTTTGTAGCAGAGATTGCCTTTGTGTACCTGCCTAATGAAGATAAAAATTGCTTCTTTTTAGGAGGTCAAGTGACCTTTAGTGTCCAAAATGATGCTCCAACATTGACTGGTGCCAAAGCCACTTTCTTCATCCAGATAAACTTCCCACAGAATCAGACGGTGCTGCCTGATGGACAAGTTGTCTGGAACCAAAACCGCACTGACAATGGCAAGTATGAACTGACAAAATAACCTGTCAGAACTGAAAACTTCCTAAAGTAAATTTAGGAAAACCCACATTGAAAATGGCTGTCTTCAAAGATGTGGGTCACAGGGCTATCATCCAGGTGTGGCCTGAACATATTGGTGAGCTTCTGACCCAGAACAAGTCTACTGGACACTAAGTTAAGGGAATTGGTTATGAGTGAAACTGAACAGCCATTGCTAGTCTTTCTGGAAAATGAGTTGTCGCACTGTCATGCTGACCTTGGTTTCACGATTTGTGCTGTCCCGGAACACATATGTGCAGAAGGATCTGATATTCCTGTTCTGCATGCCCTCTTGGGTCTATGACTTGGAGTTTTAAGGTTGGAGACTAAAGGTTAGAGGGTCAGACTAACTGGCAGATGGCTGGCATGGTCAGCCCCTTACTTTCAGGTGTCTGCCTCTGTATTTAAAGGATAAGTTCACCTTTTGGACAAAAATAATAAATTCACATTTTAAATATATATATATATTTTTTTGCAGCTAAGGAGCCTGTAAAGCATTGCACCAGTAATCAGTAGATCGCTGATACATGCAGATATTCTGACAGTAAGCTTGAATGTACTACCACGGCTCTCCACAGTGCCATGGTAGTTCATTGAAAACTACAAACCCACAGCTGCTAAGGCTGCCAGAATTGTAGGCACTCATTCACAGAACTCTGTGAATGGGTGATGCGACTGTGTGGGCGGATCCCCCGCACGTCCACGCTGTTTTAAAATCTGACAGTATGGGGAGAAGTTTCCCCGTACTATCGGTCAGATGGCGGGAGGGGGGAGGCAGTGGGCGCGGCTGCAACTATGGGAACACGTTCCAACCTAAAAATGGGTGGAACATGTTCCAAAGGTGAAATGTATCCTTTTTTTTTTTTCCCTTCTTTTAAACCAACATTTTTAGATTTGAATAGAGTAAGGCAGGGTTAGGACCCTGCCACCCTGTATGGGATTTTTTTGTGGTGTTTGGGTTTTTTATTTTTTTTTCCCTGTCCTGACTTCTTACTGACCATTCAAAATATTTTTTTCCCCTCCCTTTCTGAAGACAATGGTTCTGCCCAATGGTTGCAAGGGCTGATTCTCCCATTGGAGACATGGACAGCAATAAAAACTAACCCTTTACACGTTACTCTCTAAAACCGGACAGAGACTCTTAAGTCTCTATCTCTATTCCAGGAAAAGGTTTTGCCTATTTATACCCTTCTAAAGGAGAAGTTCACCTCTCCCTTCCAGCTTTCTGTTTAGATCTCTGTACAGACTTTCGGTTTGAAAGCTGGAGGAAGAGAGGAATAGTGTGGTGATCAGCAAGCTCATAGTTCATTGAGAACTATAAGGTATCTGTGGCAGTGGTACAGGACTTGTGGTTCAGATTACTATGTGAAACAAACTAGGGGCACAGAGAGAGAGAGCACAAGGAGGCAGATCACATGAAACCCAATGTACTGATGTTTATTGGGGAACATGGGGACACAGTTGGGGTAACAAGACACAGTAAAATGAAATAGTCCACTGGGTAGCAATGTAATACAACACATAGTCCACGTAGGATGGCCCAGAAAAATGGGGAAACTGTACACAGGGCAGGGATCCGGGGCAGACCAGGGTATGGCACATCAAGGATACAGGGCAGCAATCGGATACAACAGGAACTTAGTCCAGAGTCACAGGACAACAATCCAGGCACAGTAGAGCAGCAGGCCACAATCTGGTATAGCGGAGTCCAGGACCACAATCCAGGGACAGCCAGCAATAGACACAGCACAGGTTCAGGGACTCACCAGTCAACATCGGCTGCAGCTGAGGAAGTCAAGGCAGGGGAAAGTATATCTGGTGGGCAGAGGTCCTTCCTAGACACATCACAGGTCCTCAGGAGGGCTGTGTCCTGGCCAGCATCTGGACAATACAGACAGCAGTTGCAGGAAGAGGAGGGATTTCAGAAAAGCCATTCACATCTGGAGCAACCAAAGCTTTTCAGACCTCACTGCGTATGTGCTTGCTTTGAGTCAGTGACTTACTAGGTAGTAAAGTCAATGATTGTTCTTGCATCTTTAACCCTTCTATTGCCCACAGACATAAGGGTTTGGGCTGAACAGAAAACTTGCAGCTGGCCTGTACAATGCGTGCATTCCTTTGAACTTGGACTAATTGTTTTCTGTGTGTTGGTAACCTCTCCTTTCTAACAGGTACCTGGACTCCAGTTTACCCTGACGAGGGGACAGAAGGTTCTGAGTGTAAATTTCCAGATGGCAGTCCTTTCCCACATGATTCTGAGAAAAGGCGCAGCAAGTTTGTCTACGTTTGGCAAGCATGGGGTTAGAAAAGTGTAGTTATACTCTACTGCGCTCCTATTCCAGTTGATGCCTAACTTATGTGTGTTGGTTTTGTTTTTTTTGTTTTTTTTTCTTACAGGAAAGTACTGGCAGGTAGTAGATGGCTCTTTCTCCAATCTAACGGTAGATACAGATGGTATTCCCCTCGGCTCATACACCATGGAAGTGGTTGTGTACCATTATCGTGGTCGACAAAAGTTTATACCTATTGGCAGCACCTCCTCTCAGTTTGTAATAACTGGTAAGTAGAATTGTGATTTAACTGGGATGATTTTCCTTTGTTTGGGGAAATAGTTTTAAATTGAGTTTACTGATTACAAAATGTGCCTTTATTTACAATTTACACTTTTTGCCCTGCATTTCAAGTTTTCAAAATGACTTGACATCAAGTAGTACAGAATTATTGCTGCTGTGGCAGACATGATTGTATAAGGTGCTCAAAAACTATGCCAATAGGAAAGGAGTGGGGCTTAGTGCGTATTAACATAAAAGCCTGCATTCTTCAGGATATCAGACCTTCTTAGTTATGGAGGGAGTTTGGATAAATCCAAAAAAAGAGGAAGTAGAAAAATACTCAAAATTAACTGTTGCCTTGGTGTCTGGTTTAAAGTGCCCCCTTAAATTAAGCTAGTGGGTACATGCTTATCTCATTTTTGTGTAGGCTTGATTTTGAAGCATTTTTTTTTTATCAAACTGCTGTAGATTGTTGGCCTAGGATGGAGGCTGGTTTTTCTGAAGTTCTGCATTTAAATATCTGTTAATGCAAGTACAGTCTTGTCATGTAGCTGCAGACGTGGGCTTTGGGCTGGTTTCAGAGTTAAAGCTTTATGTAATACTGGGGTATTTGTGTCTTTCATTACTGGATTATATCAGAGCATGACTTATTAACAAAACACAGCATCCACTAAATGGTAGCCTTTCACCAGACCAGTCTTGGGCAGAGCACAAGCAGTACACCTTTTGGCATTTCCAAATGGGTTCGGTGAGTAATATGCACACAAGATTTGTAATGTTTCTTTGTTTTTTGTTGTTTTTTTTTATTTTTCCTTCTGCAGATCAGATACCAGTTTCTGTATCCATATCGCAAGTTCTTGACCTGGACCAGGAGGACCAGCGCTTTATCCAAAATAGAGCTGTGTCCTTTTCTGTAGCAGTTCATGACCCAAGTAACTATCTTCAAGCAGCTGATATTTCCTTCTCTTGGGATTTTGGAGATCAGAGTGGCACATTTATCACCCGAAACACAGCGGTCACCCATACATACATTATACCTGGCGTATTCAATGCTAAAGTTGTTGTTCAGGCTGCCATTCCAATCACTCCATGTGGCGGCACTGCTGCTGTGGTAACAACTGCACAGGTGGTGACTTCTACAGCTGAACCTCCACAGCCTTCAACAGGAAGAGCTGCCATAACCACAGCTGGTGGACAAACTGGTATGTTCTAAAAGACGTCCTTAACAGTATAACTAAGTTTGTGTTCTCTTCTTGGGGTGTGTGTGGGAAGGGAAACCCCACTGAAATGTTGACAGCAGTACATTCATACATTATCTAAAGCTCCTGGTTTATAACTACCATTCTGCTATCCTGATATTTCTTTTAATTCCAAAAAAGATTTTTGCTTTCCTTAGAAGAAGTCTGTACTATAAATGTACAAAACAACTTTATTCCCTTTTTAGGATGGCATATGCAGTTCCATTACCAGTTTCCTGATTGGTGTAAAATACAGAATTCCATAAAAATCCTGTCTACACAATGTAAATCTGATGCATGTGACAAGTTACAAAGTCTGTAAAATCTGACATTCCAAGTGACCTCTAGACAGAGAACATACTGTATATAGCAAATCTGCTATCTTATTCTAGAGCACCACAATAAAAATAAATCCTAATACCATACCATGGTGTGTTACATGCAACATGAAAACTTTGAGGTGCACGGTTTATGTAGCATGCCTTGTCCTCTCCCATTTAGCTTCCTCCTCTCAATTTTTGTAACGCATATTAATTGCTGCTATAAATCCACTAGTTAAATCCAAATAAGCATGCAATTCACCCTTGCTGCATACCCTTTGGTAGTACGCAGAAACAAGGCTGCTTTCTTTTAGGCAAACATACAATGTAGCAAACTATGCAGCACCTACAAGTATTCTACAGATCTTTACTAGTCCCTTTGTTGTATTTTAATAAGTAATCAGTGCATCTGTCATTTGGGGTTAGACTTGACTCCTTCCTCTCAACCTTGTTAATCCCTTGTCAACCAACCAACTGGGATATCCCAGGCCATAGTGTTGGCTTCCCTCTCAAATAATTCAATTATTACAAAGCAAGTCCAGAGAGACCCTAATGGCTATAATTGTATGACCTGGATGACAATCGGTGGTAAGTTTAGAGAAAGTGAAGCTATTAACAACCCCAAATATATAATCCCTGGTCAAGGTAGGATCTAAAAGTCAATAGGTTATTCCAATTGCAAGGAAAGATTCAGGTCAACAAATTGCTGCAATCTTTATGAATCCTTGATCTTTCTCTTGAGAGTCAAAACCTGTTTCAGCCATAAAATGTAAAAAAAAATGGTTCTGACCAATAAGGGATATACAGGTGCAAGAACTGAACAGGTAAACAATTGGTTCTCCTCCTTTATCAAGCTTGTGACTAGATCTTTATTTGGTACTACTGTGCAACTAATTTTAGGTTCTTCTTTACAGTTGCACCCAGTACTGCTGCAGTTTCAGTTAACTTAACCTGTTGGACACAGAAGCTAACTCTCTGGTAACTGTTGCTTCCCTAAATGAAGAGGTTAATGTGGAACCAGAACCAGAAGAGAACCCTGTGATTGAAACTGTTGCTCCTGGAAATGAACAGGCCTTGCCAGTAGATGAGGAGGAAGCTGCAACAGCAGTTACGGCCATAGAAGACACTGCTGCTAACCAGGATGTAGTGGCTACAACACAACCAGAAGCTGTAGACCCGCAAGAAGGCACAGAGGCTGCCCAAGATGTAATTCCAAGTGAAGAATCTATCTTGACAGAAGATGTGCCATCAGACACTGCTCCAGATCAGCTTGAAGTAAATGCAACACAAGTTGCTGAGGGCACAGAAGATGCTGCACCAGTTACTGAGGCTGCACAGGATGTAGCTAGTACTGTACCAGCACAAGGTGGGTGTCTCCAAAGGTACAAATCTTGTTCTGCTGTACATTCTTCTATTGAAGAGACCTATATAATTAATATATGGGAAATATGGCATGGTTATCAGATGCTTCTAATTATAAAACTGCCAAATTGATGGCCAGATGCTGCACATAAAGCGGAATACCCATTACATGGGGAACATGACACTTTTGTGAACACGTGCCAATACAGTCTATTCAGTTGACTTTTCCCCGGTTTGTGCAGAGGCAAGACATTGGTCTATTTGCAGAACATGTATTCTGTAGTTAACTGGCCTTTTGCATTTAAGGACAATAAAAAAAAAAGTTTTGTTAACTGAAAGTGCTGCAGTCGTGCATGTGACACCAGTACTGGTAAGAGATTGACAGTACCTTTGTTGAGCAACCTATTCTATTAGCTGCTATTCTGGGCAAAATGGCTAGGACACCAAAACTTGCAGGTATTTACCTAGAGGGCTTCTGGAGAAATTGGCTTTGTCCCCCTCAACAACTATGGTGTTGGAATGTTTTCTGTACTTTTTTTTTTGTGTGTGTGTGTTTTTTCAGAGTGGTCCAGCTGTTTTGCTGACATTTTTATTTTTATGTTTTCCTTAACAGCTGTAGCAAATGAAGCTGCTACAGAGGCTAATGGTGAAGTGTTGCTGCTGGCCAAGCGTCAGGCACCAGAAGTACCCAGTGTAGGATGCTTGCTTTATCGTTATGGCACATTCGCAGCTAACCTGGATATTGTCTGTAAGTCTCTGTGCAAAAGATATCCTACTACCTTTTTTTTTTTTTCTTCCTACGTCTAATAATGCATTTCTTTCTTCAAATAGCGGGCATTGAAAGTGTACAAATTGTGCAAGTGGAGCCAGTTGTATCAGCGGGGCTTGAGAATACAGTGGACCTGACAGTCACATGTCAAGGAAGGTATGGGTGCAGCAATCCATAGGACATAGTACCATTGGTACTTGAAATGCAAGGGATTAATCTGCAAGCCTGCTATATGAAAATGCTTTCATAGTTGGTAGTATAAGCTGTTATTGGACCAGACACTTTCTAAACTGCTTAAACTGTTTATAGAAGAATCTGTTGGTTCTACTAGTAACATTACATTCGCACACTTTTTGAGTCCGAAGTCCCTGCAGTAACTGAAGATTTATGAACATGAAATGGCTGCATCTGATACAACTCTTTATTCTCATTTTGTAGTGTACCAAGACAAGCATGCACTGTAATATCTGGCCCTGACTGTAATAGTCCACAGCAGACGGAGTGCAGCCCAGTGGAACCCTCTTCTGATTGTCAGCTGGTCCTGCGTCAGGCTTTCAATGAAACTGGTGTCTTCTGTGTTAATGTGTCATTGGCTGATGATGTTAGCTTGGCTGTTGCCAGCACTCAAGTTAGTGTGTCAGCAGGTAGGTAACAGTGAGCTTATATGGCTACCTTCTAATATTCTTGTGTGCGGGTCTCTGTTTTTATATAATAAAATGGCTTTACTGTACAGCTCTACAGTGCACTGGCAAACTGCTTGCCATGAATGTCTCCACACATCTCAAACCAACTCAGAATGTCACCTTTTAAATTGTTACTAAACCCGGGACCCTGCATTCAATATATCTGGTCTCCCAGAACATGGAAACACTATTATTTTAGTAAATATAAACTGTTAAATACCCTTTAGCAACAGCAGTTGGAGCAGTCTTGTGACTTCTATCAGTGTCCAACAGAGCACTGGTTAAAGCTTTGTAGGTGTTTTCATTCTCCCCTAACCTCTGTCTGGACAGTGCTGATTGGCTCTATGTTGATCACATGCATTCTCTCAAGGAAAAAAACCTCTAGCAGTACACTCTCAACTGAGCATGTGCAGAGTGTCTCGACACAATGTGACCTATCAGGAGATAAGAGAGGGACAGAGGAGGACCAGAGAAGATGGGATCAAATAGCATTTTTACACAATGCAGAGATTTAGCCCCTGAAGTATGCATGTTGTACTCACTGTGGAGCCTTACTGCATATACAGACTGATTTTACTGTTGTGGGTTTCGTAAAACTTTACACTTTAACTAGAAGCTGTTGGTCCCTGCACAGTCCAGACTGTTCAAGCCACTAACCACATGATTCAGCTTAATGCCCTTTTCATTATAACTATTCCTTCATTTGCACAACCCAGAAGACATACCCTGAAATTCAGACATATTTTGCAAAAGTCTTGTGTGAGTGGTGCAGCATGTGCCAAATTTGTGTACCAGTCTAGAACTTGTACTTGAGTTTTGGTGCAGGCTGTGCCACTTTAGAATGCATGCGAGAGGCTTTTGCAAAACCTGTCTGTACCAGGGTCTCTCTGTATGCCAAAAAGTTTGTATTTTATTGAAATGGAGCCAAATAAGACCAATTGCTAGTGTGACGGAAGCGTAGGCAGGACAGAACACACAAAGAAGATGGTAAACACACAAAGCTTTATTGAACTATTTATTTTATTTTATCGAGTTTATATAGCGCCAAAGGGTTTGCTCAGCGTTGTACAATAGAGGGGGGGACAATACATGAAACAGTACAGCAACAACAAACAGCACACAAGGGGTAAGAGGGCCCTACTCTTTCGAGCTTACAATCTAGGAGGGAGGGGGTAGAGGTACAGTAGGAAATGGCTGTGGGGGATGGAGTGGTAGGAGGAGGGAAGGGCAGCGGCTGTTAGGTGAGGGTGGGGTAGGCTTCCCTGAAGAGATGGGTTTTCAGGGAGCGCCTGAAGGTGAGGAGGGAAGGTGACAGTCTGATGGATTGGGATGATGTGAACTTGTGAGCTACTATGGTGGTATATAAATACTTACAAATAATTAACTCCTATAAATGTGACGGTGCATCAACACAAAAACACATACTCATAATATTATGTGAAAATGAATAAATAAAATATTAAATGTGTCGCGCTCCTCAATATTGTTTAGTAGTGAATAATGTATAAATATAAAAATAATAAATAAATAAATAAAATTTAAATAATTCTAAATGGATCTATAGTGATAAAATTTAAAAACTCCTGGTGTTATATTTAATTAACCATACAAATAAAATAAATAATGTGAAAAAAGCTGATAAATTCAGATTATATGGACACAATATTAATTAAATCAGGTAAACTGAAAAACCCCCATACGTAGTGGTATATTATGTGCAAAACTTATATGTGCAAAAAATGCAAAAATATTTCATAAAACAGTGAAGAAAAAAAAAAAAATATATATATATATATATAATAAAAAACAGTATACTAATTCATATAAAAATTGATAAATCAAAAATGATAAATAAATAATAATAAAACAATACAAATAATATTGTTTGCTCACTCTCACTTGTGCAGCCTAAAAATAGTGATAAGAGCTATATACTGGTTATCCTTAACTCAGGTGACAAATGATTGTCCCAAACGTGGAAAATGTATTGCTGTTGAGGTAGATTGTAATATTACTTTCCTTCCACTAGATGGCCTTTTCTTCTGTGTTATAAGGGTTGGATAGATGGAAGTAGATATCTCCCTCGTCCTATTAAAGACTATCTCCTTTATCCTCTTCTTCCCTTTTGCTCCTCCAATTTAGGCCATGTAAAAGAAAGATTCCCACATAGTGCTTTATCCTTCATATAGGGCTTAATGTGTCTCCAGCCAAATGCAAACTTACATTTTCACAGGGTAATACAGAGCGGGGAGGGGCTCTGACGTCACGACGCCACCAACAACGGAACGGCGAGTACTGTCACTGTGCGAGGGCACACACATTTTTAAAACGCTCTGTATTACCCTGTGAAAATGTAAGTTTGAATTTGGCTGGAGACACATTAAACCCTATATGAAGGATAAAGCACTATGTGGGAATCTTTCTTTTACATGGCCTAAATTGGAGGAGCAAAAGGGAAGAAGAGGATAAAGGAGATAGTCTTTAATAGGACGAGGGGAGATATCTACTTCCATCTATCCAACCCTTATAACACAGAAGAAAAGGCCATCTAGTAGAAGGAAAGTAATATTACAATCTACCTCAACAGCAATACATTTTCCACGTTTGGGACAATCATTTGTCACCTGAGTTAAGGATAACCAGTATATAGCTCTTATCACTATTTTTAGGCTGCACAAGTGAGAGTGAGCAAACTATATTATTTGTATTGTTTTATTATTATTTATCATTTTTGATTTATCAATTTTTATATGAATTAGTATACTGTTTTTTATTATATATATATATATTTTTTTTCTTCACTGTTTTATGAAATATTTTTGAATTTTTTGCACATATAAGTTTTGCACATAATATACCACTACGTATGGGGGTTTTTCAGTTTACCTGATTTAATTAATATTGTGTCCATATAATCTGAATTTATCAGCTTTTTTCACTGATGGATTGGGGTAGTGAGTTCCAGAGGATGGGGGAGGACCTGGAGAAGTCTTGCAGTCGTGCGTGGGAGGAGGAGACCAGGGAGCAAGATAGAAGGAGGTCCTGTGAAGAGCGAAGGGTACGGGTAAGGTGGTACCTGGGAATCAGGTTGGTGAGGTAGTTAGGGGCAGTGTTGTGAATGGCCTTATAGGTCAAAGTGAGCAGTTTGAATTTAATTTAATGCGTTGGGCAATGGGGAGCCAGTGGAGGGAGAGGCAGAGGGGGGTGGCAGAGGTGGAGCAGCTGGTGAGGTGGATGAGTCTGGCCGCTGAGTTCAGGATGGTCTGAAGCGGGGACAGCCTGCACTGGGGTAGGCCGGTGAGGAGGGAGTTGCAGTAGTCAAGGCGTGAGATAATCAGGGAGTGTACGAGTAGTTTAGTGGTGTCTGGGGTAAGGAAGGAGCGTATCTTGGCGATGTTCCGGAGGTGGAGCCTGCATGTGTTTGTAAGTAATTTGACATGAGGTTGAAAGGAAAGGTTTGAGTCCAGAATGACGCCAAGGACCTTGGCTTGCTGGGCGGGATTGATGGTGGTGTTGTTGGTAGTGATGGAAAGGATGGGGGGGGGGGGGGCGCGGGAAGGGGGAAAGACGAGAAGCTCGGTTTTGGAGAGGTTGAGTTTGAGGAAATATAGCGACATCCAGTCAGAGATGTCGTTTAGGAGGTGAGTGATGCGGGCGGAGAATGTGGGGGTGAGGTGAGGGGTGGATAGGTAGATATGAGTATCATCAGCATAGAGGTGGTAATTGAAGCCGTGGGAGTGTATGAGTTTGCCAAGGGAGGAGGTGTAGATGGAGAAGAGAAGGGGTCCAAGGACAGAGCCCTGGGGGACCCCAACAGAGAGGGGGAGGGAAGGGGAGGTGGCACCGTTGTAGGAAACACTGAAGGAGCGTTGGGATAGATAGGACGAGAACCAAGAGAGAGCGGTGTCTCTGATGCCAAGGGAGAGTAGTTTATTAAGGAGGAGGGAGTGGTCGACCGTGTCAAAGGCCGCGGAGAGGTCTAGGAGAAGGAGGACAGAGTAGTCGCCTTTGGCTTTGGCGGTTAGTAGATCGTTGGTGATTTTGAGGAGGGCAGTTTCGGTGGAGTGCAGGGGACGGAAGCCGGACTGAAGCGGATCAAGAAGGTTGCTGTCAGTTAGGTGGGCGCTTAGGCGATCGTAGACCAAGCGCTCAAGGAGCTTGGGGAGGTGAGTGGCAGCAGGGAAATTGGTCTGAGGTTGTTGAGGTCAGTGGGGTCCAGGGAGGGCTTTTTGAGTATGGGGGTGATGTGCGCATGTTTTAGGGGGGAGGGGAAGACGCCAGTAGAGAGGGAAGGCACTCAATTAGGGCAGCTCTTGACACTCCGCAACATGCGGCTTGTAGGGACACTCACGGTAAGCGGGCTCACGGGGGTTCAACGGGACCTTAGCTATGGGGTCTGACCTCAGCACAACCCCCACACAGCTTTCTAGGGACAACCTCAGCCGCACGGGGACTCCACGGGACTCTGGCTGTGGGGCCTGGCCTCAGCACAGCTCCCACACCGCTTACTAGGGACAACATCAGGCTCACGGGGACTCAGCGGGACTTTGGCAATGGGATCTGGTTCAGATAGCGATGGCTTAAGCCCTCAGGGGGGCAGTCCAGGTAGCTACACCCTGGGCATGCCATGGGGCAGTTCAAACATGGGTGGTCTGAGTGCACAATAAGGACAGTTCATGACAAGGTTGGCCTGAGCGCACAATAGGGGCAGTTCATGACAGGGGTGGTCTGAGCGCACAATAGGGGCAGTTCATGACAAGGGTGGTCTGGGCACACAATAGGGTTAGTCCAGGACACTCAGCAGCAGGCGGCTTCCAGGGACACTCACGATAGCGGCTCAGCAGCAGGCGGCAGTTCAGACAGGGGTGTTCTGAGCGCACAATAGGGGCAGTTCATGACAGGGGTGTTCTGAGCGCACAATAGGGGCAGTTCATGACAGGGGTGGTCTGAGCGCACAATAGGGGCAGTTCATGACAGGGGTGGTCGCGCACAATAGGGGCAGTTCATGATAGGGGCTGAGCGCACAATAGGGGCAGTTCATGACAGGGGTGGTCTGAGCGCACAATAGGGGCAGTTCATGAAAAGGGTGGTCTGAGTGCACAATAGGGGCAGTTCATGACAAGGGTGGTCTGGGCACACAATAGGGTTAGTCCAGGACACTCAGCAGCAGGTGGCTTCCAGGGACACTCACGATAGGCGGCTCAGCAGCAGGCGGCTTCCAGGGAGGTAGGCGACTTGCGGATACTCACGGCTCCGGCAGGTAGGTCCTGGCTCACAGCAGGCGACAGGAACAAAAAGGGGGGGCGAACCTCCTCAGCACACAGCAGAGTGGATAACCTGGGCCCCAGAGTATTAGGTAAGGTATCATGGGGCCCACGGCAAAGCAGTCTAGCACACAGCACCGCCGGTAATCTGGGCCCCAGGGTGTTAGGCAGGGTATCATGGGGCCCACAGCAAAACAGTTCTAGCCCACAGCACAGCTGGTAATCCTGAGTATGAGGGGGATGGCAGCGGATCCTCCCATCCTGGGGTATTTAGCAGAGGGCAGCGGGTACTCCCCCAACCCTGGGGTATTGCAGAGTGGCCGCGGATAATAGTCCTGACCTTTGGGGGGTCTCCTGCAAAGGGCTCAGCAGGGATGGCTGCGGATACTCCCACCCTGGGGTATTTAGCAGAGGGCAGCGGGTACTCCCAACCCTGGGGTATTGCAGAGTGGCAGCGGATAATAGTCCTGACCTTTGGGGTATTGCAGAGTGCTCAGCGGGGATGGCTGCGGAGGCCTGGTCCCCCCACCCGGGCCTCCCAGCGGCTTGTGGCTCCAGCAGTGGCACAGGAAGAAGAGGCCTTTTTAAAGCTGTGCGGGATGCTTCTGGGTTGCCCCGGCAATGGCCGGCCCAGCGCTGGGTAGCCCCGTGAACGGCCGGCCCAGCACCGGGGCAACGAGGCACGCCCCCTTGACTCGGGCCACGCTCTCGTCACCGCGGCCTTTGTCACTGGTGGGCATAGAGCGCGGGAAGCCCCTGCTGCGCCCACCGTGGGGGTGCGCAGAGACCTTCCAGCGGCCACCCGCGGGTGGGGGTTCACAGTAGTCCCCTACCCTCATCCTGCACAGCCTGCTTCAAGGCTGTGTGCAGCGAGGGGAGAGGGAGCGAGCCGGCCACATGTGACAACTGCGAGGGGGGAGGGAGCAAGCTGGGCACACGTGACAGTACTTTATTTTGTGCATTTTTTTTTTTGCACCACAATGTAAAAGTGGTTCATTTTTTAAGAACAGCAAAAATTTGGCACGAGTCAAATATCAGATATGCTTCATTAATTTCGTGCAATGCATTAACAAGAGATTAATGCCAGAAAAGTGGTGCAGCAGCTTTATTAAATTCCTAACTCCACCCCTTCCCCCATAGACTGTACCACCAATGACTTAGTTGGTAGGTCTCAGTGAGCTGCAGAATTGTACATGACCTGATTACTATTGGAAAGGATAACCTCTCTCTCTCTTGGCTAAGGAACCAAAAGTGGTGCAGGGAAGGCATCACTTGACACTAATGGCCTGAGGTTTAACTCTTGTATCCTACGGTTTCACAGGTGCAGCATCTTCAGTGAATGGAATTGCTGTTACAGTTGGTGTTCTCCTGGCTGCCCTTGCTGTAGCTGCTGTAGCTTACACTTACAGGTATGTTCTTGGATCATATCCAGCTCCTGCAAATTTGCAGCCCACATGTGCAGGTTACAAAGACGAGACTTTAATTTTGCATTCTCTTTCCAATTTAGGCATGTAAAGTCATATACCCCACTCAGAAGTGGCCATGCAAGTGTTAACTGGTTTCCTGAACGTCAGTCTCTTTGGCTCTTCATTCAAAATGCCCTTGGACGCTCTGCAAGTGGGGAGAATAGCCCCCTTCTAAATGGTCGGGTAGTGTGACGTGAAGGACAAACATGAGAGAGTTGGCATCCAAAGCTTTGCCATATGCCTTGTAAACAAATTTGGACAAACCGTTGTTTTTCTATGCTGGATATCACGCTATTGACATGTTCTCCTCCTGAATAAACACATTCACTGCTATTAAGGTCCAGCAGTATAAATATACACAGGATGGTTGTTTTCTCCCTCTGGAGGAGTTAATTGGCACAACCTTCAACCTATGGCTGAACTCTTGGCCACCAATAAATTCTCATAAACATCCATATTTAGTGGTGGTGTGACTTTTTTTTTTTCCTTGTTCTATCCAACATAACCACAATTTAATGTTTATGGACTAAACCTTGAATCATGGAAATGGCACTTGGTTACGGAAAAGCACAGGCAGGTCAAACATGCAGGTAGAATGCACATAACACATGCAGTATTTTCATCCCTGTGATTTGGGTGGATTTTAAAAGTGTATTACTAAATTGGTAAAGGCATTATTGCACATTTCAAACAAATTTTACCACTTTTTTTTTTTTCTTTTTTACAATCCCAGTTCTCTGTACATTATAATCTTCATGCCCACTGGGGAGATTTGGATGTTTTCTGCAAATTCTTGCTTGATCAGTACTACTGTTGAATTCTATCATTTAAACACCCAGCAGGAAGAATAAGGGGCCCCTCATAATGGCCACAACAAGTGTACAAAACCAGCAACTCAAGTACCGCAATATTACTAAGGGTGTAGGTAGATCAAACAAGTAAAAAATGCTAGTGAAATAATTCAAAATTGATTGATGATTGTTGGCACAGGTGCTAACGGAGTCCCTGAGACATTTAAAGAATTGTCAGGTGGCTTAGCATTTCAGTATCAACCAAAACCTTAAGTACATTTGAAGCAACCCATTCAGTTTAAATTAAAAGACAAAACATTGTAGATATAATCTCTATGTAGCTTTAGTTTTATTTTGTGGTCTTTTTTTTTTTTTTTTTTTAGAAAAGCAGAGGGACTGGTAGGAACACAGGGGATATCACACAAAGGAAGCAATACAAAGAGAACAGGATACTTTTTCATACAAGTACATGGTATAGCAGGCACATATCTGGAATATGAAATGTTGGGTTCGCATATTCTTTATACCAGCAGGTTTGCATTAATTTCCTCCCTTCCTAGCAACACTAAAGGTAAATGGACTGTGCAGGTGTACTCATTTCTGCCCCAAGCTCAGTGGATGTGGTGAATCTTTGCTTTGTTAGGAAATGAAAAAAACTTTTGTGTTTTTTGTAATTTATCAACCCCCATTTTACTTTGTTCAGTTAAGTTACATGAAAGCATTGCAGGGTTGACAGTTACAAGCATGACTCCCAAAGGCATGATGGGACTTGTAGTTCCGTAACACCTGGAGGGCCACAGTTTGAGCACATATGAAAGAATACTTACGATTTGCAGCTATGGTGGCACTAGTGCCACGACTGGGCCAAGCACAAGTCCTTAACACTTCTAGAAGCTATCTCTCTTAGAGCAGTGGTCTCCAAAATGTGGCCCTTTGCTAGCCTTTATCCGGCCCTCCCACCGATATGAGGCACTATTCCTTCCCCTGACATAGTGGGGCATAATTCCTGCCACTGACACTAATAGTGGGCCACTATTCCTCCGACTGATATCAATAATGGGACACCCCCCTCCCAGCACTTTTTCTCCCCTTCTCTGCTCAGGGGAGTGATGACCAGCTGGGGAGTTCTGCCATATTTTCCTCCCCTCTCAGGGAGTGGGTCCCTGGGGCTCCGGAGCATTGGAAGCCTTCAGGTTGCTTACAGAGGTTCTGGCGGTTCTGGCAGTGGGGGATGCTGTGCTGGTGTGCAGGACGTCTGGCAGGGGCGTAGCGGCATTGGTTCCAGCCACTGGAACGCAAGGGAAGGGGGCAAGTCAACAGGTGCTTCCAGGTCCCCAGCGCTCTGAAGACTGGCGGGAACTTTAATGGACCACAGGTCTCGGCAAGCTGCGTTCTCTGCAGGATGGAGGAAACAGAGGGTCCAGCAGTGACAGCAGAAGCAGGCGCATCATGCACCAGCCTAGCCCAGGTAAGGGGAGTACAGTGGTGCCTTCTATCGTTATAGTGCGGCTCCTTTGGTTTTTTTTCTGGTAAGTTTTTTTGTTGCCTTCCCTAGGAAGCCTGCTGCTGTGGCACAGAGGTGACTCCGCACTGCTCTATGACTCAGGGAGATGACTTGGGGGTATTATGGGCTTCCTCCTCTCTCTCCCTTTCTTTCTGGAGTCACATCAGTTAAAAAGAAGGTTCCGTCCTGTAGGAATCTCCTGAGAGATTCACGGCCAAAACCACTTTATAAAGCATGTGTGGCAGATTTAGAAAAAAAAAGAATATTTGCAGCAATGCGGTGACATTTTGCTTCTGTCAAGAAGGAATTGTTGAAGACTCTGGGTTCAGTTCGATCCTTGTTGGATAAACTGCCACCGCTTCACCTGGCTTTGCAACAGAGCACCTCGTCCAGTCCACGGCCGTCCTTTTCAGGCCAAAAGGAAATCAGCGACTCAGATGAAGAGAGAGAGAGTGTGTCCTTCCATCCATCAGAGATTCGGAGGAAGAGGACGGCGAGGAGCAGGTTGCAAGCTCGTCCAGATACAAACTATCATTGGAGGAAGTGGACGACCTGCAGAAAGCAATATATATGATGCTAGAAATCCAAGAGGAGAATGTGCAGCTGTCAGTCCATGATAAAATGTACTAGGGCCTGGGACAAGCTACACATAATCTTCCCAGTCCACCAGGTATTATCAGACTCAGTAAGGAAAGAATGGAAGGATCCAGAAGAGGGTCCTTTCCTTTCTTTTCCAAATCCCTTAGAAGAAGGTTTCCCTTCGAGGAAGACTAGTCCCTGGTGTGGAATAAGAAACCATGGTTGGATGTGGCCTTTTCGCAAGGAGCACTGACATGGCTTTTGAGGATATGGGCATTCTAAAGGATGCAATGGATAAGAGGGCAGACTCGCTTCTTTAAAAAAGTGTGGGACTCTTCCCTGACCAACCTCAAGCTGGTGGTCTCCACGGTAATGGCAAGAAATTTGGAGTGCTGGTTAGAACAGTTGAGGGATCATGTCGAGGCAGGGAGCTTTTGGAGTCATTCCTGGTCCTTCTAAAAGCCATAAAGTATATGGCTGACGCATCAGCAGCATCTATCAGAATGACAGCCAGGTCTTCGGCACTGGTCAGCTCGGCAAGGAGAGCCATCTGGCTCAAGACCTGGTTGGCAGACTCAGCTTCTAAGGTGAAGTTATACGGAATCCCCCTTTCAGGGGAACCTGCTCTTCGGCCCAGATCTGGAATCGGTGCTGGATAGAGTGGCGGATAAGAAAAAGACTTTCCCGTTGAAAAATAAGCAACCTGTCAGAAATAAGGAACAGACCCAGAAAAGAAATTGGAGTTTCCAGAGAAATCGGGGTAAAGGGGGGTACTCTTCAGATCCCCAGAGTGGCCGTCCAAGAGCCAATGACATCTCTCTTCGGGTGGGAGGCTTTGGACCTTCTCCTCACTGTGGGAAGAAACAACATCAAGTGCCTTTGTCAGAAGTATCATGACCCAGGGGTATGGCCCGGAGTTTTCCCAGACCCCACCAACCAAATTTTGTGTGACCAGTCTCCCAAGGAGTCAGGAGATGGCCTCAGCAATGACGTCTCTTTTGAAGGAACTGATGCAGTAGGAGGTCATCATTCACGTGCCAAGGGTACAAGAAGGCCGGGGGTTCTACTCACACATCTTCTTAGTCCAAAAGCCTTCAGGCAAGTTCCGTCTAATCTTGAATCTGAAGTTACTGAACAAATCCATTTGGTACAAGCACTTCCACATGGATACAATTTTTTTAGTGAGGAAGCTGCTATCCCCGGGTTGCTTTATGGCGACTATTGATCTGCGGGATGCTTACCTTCATATTCAAATAGCACAGTCTTCTTAGAGGTTCCTCCATCTGGCGGTCAATCTGTGATCGTCCATCTGGCACCTGCAGTTCAGAGCACTTCCCTTCGGCCTGTCATCTTCTCCAAGGGTGTTCACCAAGTTTATGGCAGAAGCACTAGAGCCTCTGAGATTGAGAGGGATTTCGGTGGTGCCATACTTCGCTGACCTACTTGTGTTTGCAGAAACCAGGACGCAGGTGCTGTTAGATCATACTGCTCTTTTTTTTGCAGTTTGTTCTAGTCAGCTGCTAACTTTTTCTAATACGCTGTTAGATCATCACATGACTCAGGCTCATCCGAGAAGCTTGGGATGGTTGTTAAACCTGGAAAAGTCCAACTTGATTTTGGCCCATAGAATAAGGTTCCTGGGATATATCATAGATTCCTTTCAAAAGAGGATATTCCTTCTGTAGGAGAAAATAAAAAGGATCCAGTCGGCCCTGAGGCAGGTTCAGTGCAACCTGTTGGTGTCGGTCAGAGTGGCTATGTCCATTCTGGGACTGCTTACCCCCACCATCTCAGCAGTTCAGTGGGCCAGATTCCATTCCCTCCCCCTCCAGGGGGACATCTTGCAAAAGTGGACATATTAAGATCCGCTGGACACGCCTATAAGGATCACTCCAAAGGTGAAGAGGGCACTTTGGTGGTGGTGAGATCTGACCAATTCAGGGAGGGACCTGCCATGGTCATTTCCAAAGGCCGAACACCTAATGAAAGACGTGTGTGCATGGGGGTGGGGATCCTACTTTGGAAATCAGTTGGCACAGGACCCGTGGTCCAAAGTGGAGGCCATCGGCGTTCTTCTCCCTTCAGAAGGAAGACCAGGATCTGGGCCTGGACACATTAGCTCATCCCTGGAATTACCCTTTGTCCTACACGTTCCTCTTGGGCTAAAAAGGCTGGTGCATCTCCAGAACAGATTTGTAAAGCGGCTTTGTGGTCCAGTTTTTCCACATTTATATGCCATTATAGGGTGGATTTGTTGGCTGCGTCTAGACCAGTCTTTTGGCAGGAAGGTCCTGCAAGTGGTGGTCCCACCCTAGGGG